TTTTTTTTTTTTTTTTTTTTTTTTTTTTGGTACCAAATATCAAACTCAGGTCCTTCTGCTTGCGAGGCAGGCAGAATCACTGAGCTAAATCCCTGGCCTTTTTTTTGTTTTTTTTTTTTATTATTATTATTTTTCTTCTTTCTAATAGGAAAATATAAAACAATTTTCACAAAGATATTACCATGAGAATTTCTGTCCTGGGGAGCTAAGTTCATGCTATAAATGAAGATTCCTAACTGCTCCTTGGCCTCAGTATTTCTGGGACTCAGCAGCGAGGGTACCCTACAGGAGTCGGCACCAGGCAGCTCCTCTCTACACTGAAACGCTAGGCATCCCGATCAGCTTCATGCTCCAAGGTGCCTCAACTTCTTAAACGGGAAGCTGGGCTTTTCTCTTTTCGCTGTTTGAATCTTTACAACAAGATTCCTCCACTGTTTGCAAAACCTGCATTTGAACAGTTATTCCAGGGAGACTGTTGAAGTCAGGTACCCAATTGTGCCTTCCAGTCACTTTGGAATGTTGTTTAAAGATGTAATTCCAGGATGCTTTGCTGTCACTGAGCAAACCTCTAACTCTGGATGATTGTAATTTGCTTTTTAAGCATTAATCAGCCAAGACTGCTTTCAGGACTCATACAAAAATACAATTTCTTTCATCCACATTTTAAACATTCTATTCCTCACTCTTCTCCATTTAGAGCATACAAAATGTAAGAGTACATAGAAAAAAAATAAAGATGATGACAAGATCCAGACCACACATAAAAAATTATGTTTCCAGAGGCTGAAAAAACAAGCAATTAGTACCTATCCATGTTCTTTCTGCTTGGTACTTGTTTCTTTACTTCCAACCTTCTCAAAAAACAGTTGTGCTATGTAGCTTGAAAATGCTAAGCAGATCCTGGTATCTATTAAGTGTGTGCTGATTTCCAAGGAAAAAACACTTTTGCAAATGTCCTTGAAGGTGAGTGACAGGTAAGGACCCATACTTTGGGACCAGGCTGTGGTCAAAGAACAATGGTTAACTTTAGTGAAAAACATCCTTCCTAGTGGTTGGAAAATGCTCTCAAAGAAAACACGCATTGTTTTATGCCGTTGTGTGGCTTTCAAGTAGAGACATTACTGAAGAAGTGTGAACCCCAAATGTGTTGTCTTAATTTATTTAAGATATGGCTGTGAAAGCATTAAAACCTTTACAGAAAAGCTGTGCTGCAGAGGGAAATCAAACAAAATCAAACACAAAAGACTGAAAAGAACGCATGCTATGTATCAGTAAGCTAAGTTTTATCTTCATATAGTTTTTGGAAATCACAAGGTATCCAAATGCGTGCAAGGTTTTAAATAAATTGCAGAGAGAACAGGGTCTTGTCAGCTTCAATTTTCTTGTAAGTGAAATCCACCACAGGGCACAAAGGGAAAATGATCCATGATTCCCTTTGCATTATTGGCCACTTCATTAATTTTTTTTTTCTTCCCAGAATGAAGACAACTTAAACATTCTTTCTTCTTACAGAGAAGAAAACATGAATTGTGTGATTCAGCAACTTCTCTGGTGAACCTTACCCTTTCTCCTAATCTGGATCCAAATTAAAAACTCTCCTTCCACATTTCTTGTGCTCTCTTGAGAATACTGTGCTTCTCAGTGCTTGCTGCTTGACAGACTTTTGCCATAACTATGGTTTTTCCCCAAGGCCTGCATGCTCTCTCCAGCCTCTGGTTGAATGTTTTTAAGTAGGGAACTTACTGTACAGGCCAGCTTGGGCAACTTAAACCCCGTCACCAAACAAAATTTAAAAAGTAAAACAAAAAAAGACTGAGAGGGGCCAGGGATTTAGCTCAGTGGCACTGTGCCTGCCTTGCAGGTGTAAGGTCCTTAGGAGTTCAATCCCTGGTACACAGAAAAAAAGTGGGGACTGAGGGTATATGTCAGTCATAGAGCACTTACACAGCATGCTTAAGGCCCACACTTCAATCCCCAGTACCACACACACAGAAAAATCAGTACTTTTCATCACAAGATAGGACTACTGGCCAAAAAATTACAAAATACATTCTATCTTTATAAGCAGTATCTTACCTTAATATCTTTTAGAGACACAAATTTCTCAATACCTAATTCAATCATATCCAGCACATGGTAGTCATACATACGACCTAAAAGGAAAATCCATTTTTAAGCACATATTTTTTTACTGGTACAGGATTATACACAGTATATGATTATACTCATTGTGGGAAGCTGGTACACATTCATGCCATTTCTTCTCTTTCCTTCCTGATGAATTTCTTGGGGCCCTTATGCTCTAGCAACTATCTGGTGCATGTACACTACCCCCGCCCCCTGTTCTTCATCTCATTTCCCTCTGTCTTTCAGTTCCCTTCCCATATGCCAAAGATCCATCTCACCATTTTCTATTGTCTTTTATTTTGCACTTTATATATTGGGTTTCTCACATAAGAGAAACCATGTGGTACTTAAGTTGCACATCTGATTTAACATTATGGTCTCAAGGTGAACCCATTTTCCAACAAATGAATCATGTTTATCATTCTCAATAGTACTCCACAGTGTATATATAGACTTTCTTTCTTTATCCAGTCATCTGTTGATAGATGGATATGCCACTTACAAATTTTAGCTATTACAAATTGTGCTGCTGTAATTGTGAACATGGGTATGAATGTATCATTGTAATATGATTTCTTAGTCTTTTGGGAAGATACCTAGAAGGTTAAGAGCTGCATCAAATGGAATTTCTATTTTTATTTTAAGGCATCTCCATACTGATTTCCAGAGCGGTTGTACCAGTTTATATTCTAATCAACAATGAAAGGTTCTTTTTTCCCTACAGCCCTTTAGCATTCATTATTACTTAATTTCTTGAAGACAGCCATTTCTTCTAGAGTAAGATGGATTTTCAGGATGGTATTAATTTGCATTTCTCAACTGGCCAGTGATATCAAACATTTTTTCATGTATCTATCAGCCATTCGTACTTCTTCATCTGAGACGGGTCTATTCATTTCAGACTGGGTTTTTAAATCTGGGAGTCTAATTTTTTTGAGATAATATATTCTAGATATTAGTCCCTTGTCTAATGAGTTGCTTGAAGATTTTTCCTATGCTGTAAGCTATCTCCTCACTATGTGGCCAGTGATATCAAACATTTTTTCATGTATCTATCAGCCATTCGTACTTCTTCATCTGAGACGGGTCTATTCATTTCAGACTGGGTTTTTAAATGGGGGAGTCTAATTTTTTTGAGATAATATATTCTAGATATTAGTCCCTTGTCTAATGAGTTGCTTGAAGATTTTTCCTATGCTGTAAGCTATCTCCTCACTATGTGGTGATTTTCTTTGTTGTGCAAAAGTGGTTTTTTTTTTTTTTTTGCTGTTGTTGTTGTTTTGGTACCAGGGATCAAATTCAGGACTTCGTGCCTGGGAGGCGAGTAGTGGAACCACTGAATTAAATCCCAGGCCCAAGATGCAATGGTATTCTAAGGCAGTGAACTGGGAACTCTTCTGTATTCTTTCCTACTCGTGTTACTTCCATCTATTGGTAGGACAATATTAATATGCTCTATTCTTTAGCTGGAGACTAGCAGACAATTTTTTTCTCCCCATGCTGGAATTATACCCAGGGTCTCACACATGCTAAGCAAGTGCTCTGCCACTGAGCTATACTCCAGCCCAGAAAAATCATTTCATTCAGTGTCACAAAAACAAAACAAAAAAAAACCTACTGTAGAGTTTACTGGCTAATTCTGAATCCTGAACACCATTAGTTTATCTGAGTCACAGAAATAATTATAAATAAAAATATAAATGGAAATAATACTTACCTAGTACTAGGTTATTGGGCCGCTTCTTATTATGGGATCCGAACATGAATAAAGAACAATCTGACTTCTTTGAAAAGAATTCCTATAAAACCAAACAATAACACAAAAAAACTTTAAGAATGTTGTTACCTCTTAACTTAAAGTTATCAGTTTTACCCCCAATAGAAATTAATGAAGACAATGAACAAGATATGGATAGAGAAGAAAATATGTTTTAGTTTTTTACGTCAAATTTTCTGATTTGGGTTATCTCTAAGAGAAAATATTACATTTCAAGATTAAAAATACATGAAAACCAGCTGAGGATTTAGCTCAGCAGTTCGGTGGCCTGCCTTGCAAGTGCAAGGAACCGAGTTCAATCCCCGGTACCAAAAAAAAAAAAACATTAGGTTAATAAGTAAACTAAAATAAATTTTCTGTTATATAGTATCTTAGAATAGCATATCAAGTGTTTCATTTGCTGAATAAATTCCCTTATTCAGAGTCAGGGATTAGCTCAATGGCCCCAACGCCTGCCTGGCAAGCAAGACCAGAAAAAAAAAAATTCCCTTACTCACAGAACATGACTACTACCATCAATGTCCCTACTATCTAGGGAACCTACACGAATTTATCAATACAATGCTTTTGGTATTTTTAATTGGATTCATGAATTTAAATGCAAATCACACTACTTATCACTGAAAATTGCAACAGGATTTTGGCCCTAAATCTCCACACCACCCCAGCGGTGACTACTGTACTTCCATGCTGGACACTGGCAGGGCGGACTGAGACACCTATGATACCCAATGTAAGATCAGTCTTCTTCAGCTCTCAGAATATTGGCTTTTACCTGTGTAGTGGAACATGCATTTAATCCCAGAACTCTGGGCAACTTACCAACTTAGAGAGACCCTGCCTCAAAAAGTAAGAAGGGGGATGGGGATACAGCTCAATTCAAAGGCCCTGGGTTCAGTTCCAGTCACACACATGAACATACACATAGATACAAGGGGGCACATACACACACCATGCACTGGCTTCCATTACAGGTTTGAAGAGTGGAAATACAGGCACAACATTTAATCCTGAGGAATTCCTTTTACACTATGCGTATATTCACTGTGTCCCACATACTTTGATTCAACTTACTGAATTCATCAATCTTAGCATAAAAATTAGATTTAAAGTGTTCTAGTCCAAAAATCGGCTGACCTTGGCAGAGTGGTGCACACTTATAATACCAGCACTTGGGAGAGGATCACCACAAGTGCAAGGCCAGCTTGGGCCAGTGAAATCCTATCTCAAAAAAAAAAAAAAAAATCAGCTGAAAATCTCCCAAACTAGTGACCAATAAGTTAAATAGATAAAACAGCCAGAATCCTCAACCTTTTCTTCCCTGGTAAAAATACTGAAGTAAGAGCCCCTGCATGGTTATCATTCAACCTCGTACCTAAGCAGAGAAAATGGGGCAAAAACCACCCACCTGCCTATCATCTCCCAGTGTGAAGAACATAAAAGTCAGAAAGTCTAAGAATTTAGGCTCTGCCATTTACTATGGCATTGGACAAATTAACATTTCTGAGAATTTTATTATCAGAGAAAACCTTAAAGGGTCATACAACTTGTGAGCATTTCCTGTAGAGTGTCTGGTACAGGAAGTGTTCAAAAAACCGTCAAAACAAAACAAAAAAAAACTAAAACAATAATATTGTCTAAATCAACAAGAATACCTTCCCTTTGGGCGGGGGGGTCCTATGTTATCCAGGCTGGCCTCAAACTTATGGTGATCCTCTTGCCTTAGCCTCCCACATGTTGGGGATTACAGGTGTGCTCCATCATGTCCAGCTGGAATGCTTTCTTAAAATGTGCGTGTGTGTATGTGCGCTCACACTTGCACATGTATTTTCAACATTCTCATATCATGACTAACTTCCCAAAATGCCCTCATGAGTGTTATACAACTGTCACTCTTCTCTACAAAGTCTGCTTTTCATTTGTTAAAATTCTAGAGCAAGGGCAGTCATATCTTTACTTACAAAGGCTACTTAGTAAATATAAATATATTAGGCTTTTTACATGTGTGTTTATGGTTGGTTTTTGGTGCTTAGGATTAGACCCAGGGCTATACCCATGCTAAACACACTTCTACCACTCATCTACAACCACCTACAATACTGTTTATTTTTTACATAATTTTTTAAAATGCTAAAATTCTTATTTCATGAGCCTTACACAAACAGGGATTTTGTCCACAGACAATATATTTTTGGCGACTTCTGCTGAGGTAGGAGAACCATGAGTTCAAAGCCAGCCTGGGCCACCAGTGAGACCCTACCCTGAAAACACAAAAGACCCATGAGAGACAGAACTGTGAGATAAACCTGTATTTTTACTTCTATGACCTCTGCACCAAATGACTGAAAAAACATGAGACTGAAATGAAATGGATGTAACATATTTAAAAAAGAGAATAAATATATTTTTTAAAAGAGACTAAATGAGATTTATTTTGCTATTTTATTTTTTTTCGGTAACAAGGATCAAACTCAGGACCTTGTGCTTGCCTTGCCACTAAGCTAAATCCCCAGCCTACCAATATATTTTAAATTTTTCATAGCAGTTAGCTTCCACATCAGGAATTTATTTATTTATTTTTTGCAGTAGCAGGGATCAAACTCAGGAGCTTTGAGCTTGTCGAGCAGGTGCCATGCCACTGAGCTACATACAGCTCAGAATTTAATTTTAATCTTTGAATTACTGAGATTCTATTCAAACATTATTTCTCATAGACTCACAAATCCGAAAAAAAATGAGTTCCTATAAAGAGAACCTAATCACATTCTTATTTGTGTTAAGTTAATTTATAGTTTTTGTCATTGTTTTATGGTGGTGGGGACCGAACCCATGGCCTTGGCACTAGGCTACATCTCTAGCCCACTCCTTTTTTTTTTTTTTCTTACAAATTTTTATATTTTGAGACACAGTCTAGCTAGGTTGCTCAGGCTGGACTGAAATTTGCAATCTTCCTGTCTCAGCCTAATAAAATGCTGAGATTACAGGCATATGCCACCATACCACGGTAAATTTAAATACTTTAAAACACTTATTCTCTTAATAGTTTCTTAGGAAAATTGGCCATGGCACTATAGTAATCCTGCCACCCTGGAGACTGAGGCAGGAGGATCTCAAGTTGGAAGCCAGCTTAAATTAGGGACCCTCTCAAAACAAACAAAAAAAAGTTGTTTTTTTTTCCAAGAAATTGATATAGTCACATTCTCAATGTTCATTCATCATTCACCATTTACTGTAAAGTTTTATCTTCTGATTTTATTCATTATCCCTTTTCATTTAGTGTTGGTTGACAATACACTCAAAACAGGAATCTGATTAACTCCAGCAAAGCAAATGACAACTATTAGCAATAATTCATCCAGTGTTCCTTGTTCTAAAAATATCTGAAGGGAGAAGACAAATTTTGAAAAATTCTTGCCAGGCGTGGTGGCGGCACACCTGTAATCCCAGCACTCGGAAGGCTGAGGCAGGAGGATTGCTGTGAGTTCGAGACCAACCTGGGCTACATAGTGAGTTCCAGCTCAGTCTCATCTACATAGTGAGACCCTGTATCAAAAAACCAAAAAAAAAATAATCTTCTTTTGGAGACTGGGTCTCGCTGTGTGCCTCAGACTCTTAAGTGCCAGGATTATAGGCCTGGCTAAAATTTTAACTTCTTTATTATAATAATAGTTAGATCCTATAATCCCAGCACTGTGGGAAGCTGAAGTACAAGTATCTCAAATTCAAGCCCAGCCTGTGACTACATCTCAAAAATAAAAAACAAGGGCTATGAACGTAGCTCAGCACAAAAGCCCTGGTTCAGTCTGCAGTAACACATACACAGAACTAAAGTGTTTGTTAACCACAAAGCAAATACACTAAAAATGAAAGGCAACAAATCCAATGGGGGTGGAGGAGGCAACAAATCAAAGCATGCTGCTAGAGAAAAATCACTACCACAAAGGAAAAATGCAAAAAAGGATCTCTAACAAGCTTTCTTTGATAATTATGCACTTAAAATACAATTCAATTTCTAAAAATGCTATCGATACACTTAGAAGTAATGAATAATAACATTTACTGGCAATAGGGAAGCTGAGGCACAAGGATGAGGCCAGGCATTCGAAGCTAGTTCAGACAACCTGGCAAGACCCTGTCCCTGGCCTCCTAAAAAATAAGATCTATAGTTATATTCTTGAAGGGCCAAAGGCCTTATATTTCCTCTATTTTTATCAAAATTTTCTCACATACATTGTCTAATTTTTTTTAAAAAATCACAAATTCACAAAACATGAATAAACTATATATGCTTTTAAGAAGATTCTTTTTTTTTCTTCTTTCTTGGTACAAGGATTGAATTCAGGAACTCACACTTGCCAGGCAGGCACTGAGCTGCTGAGCTACATACCCGGCCCCAGGAAGACTTTTATACTTACCAGTGATGTCTGATCCTCAAAGGGTCTTGTAATATTTTTCCTAAGAATATTAAAAAGAGATGACTCCGAGGTTAATAATCTTCCTAAATAAATCCAAATAATACTTGTATAAGTCAAAGATAATTATATATTTAAGATTACAAAAACTGGAAAAGCCAGGTGTGGTGGCTAGAAAGATAGTCATTCAGATAGTTCTTTCAGATCTACTTTATGCTAGGCATTGCAAAGGACACTGCAATGTTATATCAAATAACATTAAAATGCCTGCTTTTATGAAGGTTTTTCTTTCTTCTTTTTTTTGATGTGGTCTTTATGTAGGCCCGACTTGAACTCACTACACAGCCCCAGCTGGTCTTTAATTCCCAATCATTCTGCTTCAGCCTCCCAAATGTTGGGATTTTTATGTATGTCACCACATCAACTCAAGGAGCTTATATTCTACTAGAAAACTAATAAATTCAAAAGACAGTAACATAGTCAACCAGGTATGGCTGTTCATGCCCGTAATACCAACGCTTGGGAGGTTGAGACAGGAAGACTGCTACGGGTTCAAGGCTACCTTGGACTAGTGGGTTCAAGAGCAGCCTGTTCTGTTTCCAAAGAAAACTAAGAGTAGTGACAAAAACAAAATAAGACATTTTGGGGCCGGGATTTAGCTCAGTGGTTCCACCAACTGCCTCGCAAACGCAAGGACCAAAGTTCGATGCCCGGTACCAAAAAAAAGACATTTTGTTAGTGTCAAGAGTAGAAAATGACTCTGATCTGAGACCTGATTAATGGGTTAGCCACAGCAAAGTTCTGAGGTTAAGATTATTCTCAGAGAGAACAGAAGGAGCAAAGACTTTGAGATAGACATGGAAAACTTCAAGAACAGAAAGAAACAAATGTCACTGGAGATGAGTAAGCAAAAGGATAATCGTGGGATATGTTTGAGATGCAGCCAAGTCTCAGATTACACAGGGCTTCACAGGTCAAGGTAAGGAATGCACATTAGTATTAGAAGAATAATGGGGAACACAAGAGAGTTTAGACAGGACAGTGACATGAATAGATCTAATTTTCTTTTAAAGGGTCACTCTGTCTGCTATGCGAGTATGGACTGGACGCGACAAAGTAGAAAAATTTCAGCAACAAAATAGCACTGGATATATCCCATGGGAAATATTGAGTCCACACTGATTTTAAAAATACAGAAATTACTGTAAAAATACTAAAATACAGAAGAAATAGACTTTCCTTCAGAATTCCAACAATCTACATTGAAGAAATGAGGGAAACAGAAAACTGCCATTAGAGCACCACGGTAATCAAATCACTACTGTACACACACAATGCATGGATGCTAAAATTAATGAGCAAAAGTTTCAGGAAAAAAGGATAGAGTTGGCTGTTATCTGTAGATTCAGCGCCCACGGATTCAACCAACTGCAGATGGAAAATATTTGGCAGGGAAACTGCATCTGTTTGGAACATGTACAATTTGTCAATATTTCCTGAACAATGCAGCATAACAACCCACACACAGCATTTAGACTGCGCTAGATTGTAAAAGTAACAGATTTAAAGTATATGGAAAAGAGTGGGGGGGTTGAGGGAAGGGGTTTATGATATATGCTTTTTTTTTTTTTTTTTTTTTTCAGTAGCAAGGATCAAACTCAGAACCTTGCACTTGCAAGGCAGGCACAGTGTCACTGAGCTATATCCCCGGCCCATGCCTTTAATTTTAATGCCAGCAAGTGGGAGGTGGAGGCAGGAGGATTTTAAATTTGAGGCATCCTGGGGTACATAGTGAGACTCTATGTCAAAAATAGTCAAAATATAATAAAGTACATGGGAAGATGCATATAGGTTACCAGCAAATACCACACCTTCTGTAAATAAGGGATGTGAGCATCCAGACTGTGATATCCAAGGAGCTATCCAATCACCAATAGATAATGAGAGATGACTTCATCTGCAGCCTTTGCATAGTCTCAAGTACGTCCTCTAAGTATTTACTAACTACAAAGGGAGTAATACTAACATGACAGTCTAGAAACCTGGAAGACACCACTTTGTTTTGGGGAGAGTATTTTTGTTTGTTTTTTGAGACAGGGTCTTGCTATGCAGTTCAAGCAGGCCTTGAATTTACAGCAATCCTCCTGCCTCAGCCTCCTAAAGGCTGGGATTAGAGAAATGTACTATCATACCTAGCAGCAGACACCACCACTTTGACCTAAGTACCACCACTAGTTAAAACACAGTAATCATCAATGTGTATCCCCTATTTTATTTACTGATAAAAGGATATCATTTTTGTGACATTAACAAAAATACATAACTTCAATCTATTCATGAGAAAACCCAAACAGACAAACCCAAATAGATGAATAATATACAAAATAGCTGATGTTTTCATCAAATGTGTCAAAGCTATGGAAGACAAAGAAAGACTAAAAACCATCACATATTAGTTAGGGAGACATGATAACTAAAGACAATGTGGAGCTAACTATGCTGGCACAGGCTTATAATCCCCAGCACTCTGGGAGGCTGAGGTACAGTTACAACTGGCAAGTCAGTGACTCTGTGAGATTCGTCTCAAAATAACAAAAGGACTGGGGCTGTAGCTTAGTGTGAAGGCCCAGAGTTTAATTCCTACTGTTCAAAGAGAAAAAGAGAAGGAAGAAAGGGGAAAGGAGAGGGAGGAAGGGGGAAAATGGGGAGGGAAGGCAGAAGAAATGGGGAAGGGGAGGAAAAGGAAGCAAATGCAATGTGGAATCCTGGAAGAGAAAAAAAATATCAGTGCTGTAAGGGAAGTGAGAAGGGTAGGGGAAAGGAAATAAAGAACAAGAAAAAATATGAGAAAAGGAAAAAATGGAAACAAAGTCTTTGTAAATAGGAGAGGGTGGTGGGGGTGAAGGGAGTTTAGGGGTATGGGGAAAAATGAGAACCAGGACCTAGCATGTAAAGGTACAAGATTCCAATAATGAATGTAACTACTGTATACTTAAAAAGTACCAATAAACTCAGTAAGATAAAAGAAAAAAACTATCTATCTATCTATCTATATATATATATAAAACAATGAAAAAACTGGTGCCAACCAAGTAAGTCTGAGGACAGCCTGGGCTACACATATAGTGAGTTCAAGGCCAGCCTGGGCTACACAGTGAGACCCTGTCTCAAAAAACCAAACCAAACAAAACATTAGGAGAAGCTAGGTAAAGAATATATAGAACTATGATTCTTGTAATTTCCTATAAATCTATACTGTTTCAAAATATGTACATTATAATAACTAGGTTTTTTCTAAATCTTCCATCGAGTGGTTTTAACTTTTATAGTGGAATAAAATTATTTAACATAAAGTTTTGCCAGGTGTGGTGACACACACTTATAATCCCAGCACTCAGGAGGCTGAGACAGGGTGAGTTCAAGACCAGCCTGGGCTACATAGTGAGTTCCAGGTCAAACTCAACTACACTGTGAGATCCTGTCTCAAAAAACCTAAACAAACAAACAAACAAACAAATAAAATTTTAAAAATTTGATGTAGGGCCAGGGATTTAGCTCAGTGGTGCCTCATAAGCGCAAGTTCCCAAATTCAATCCCAAACCAAAAGAAAAAAATTATGACTTACTTTTTATACAGAATTCCATATGGTTTTTTCAGTGCATACTGTAAAACATAATTTATAATTTTCAAACAAAACATTTTCAAAAGCACAGATAAAAATAAAGCATTGTAACATTCACTCTATAAGACTGCTCTGGTCCCTGAATCCTGTTCTGATGTCTTCTGCTTGGCTCCTTTTTGATTACTTACAATAACTTGTAATTTACCCTTAATATTTAACTTAGACTAGACTTTACTAATTCAAGGTTTTCATGCCCTTTCAATAGTCTATCCCACTTAAATGATTCCTTTCATTTTTCATTTTAAACTCTACCCAACTCATTCTCTTCATGCAAAATGGGAGTAAAGGGTAAAAATCAAAACATAAACAAAATACACAAATCTTATCTGAGCTGACAGAACTGAAATAACTAAGGATAACAACTCAGAATAATTATACTGATGACAATGAGAATACTATCCAGAGTTTAAACACAGCTCTTAAAAAAATTTTTCCTGTTATCTTCTAGTTTTTAAAAAAATCTACTTTCTTTCCACTTACCCATGAAATATCTATTACCTACATGGCCAGTATTGCCCTAACAGGGACTGGCCAAGACCTAAGGAACTGTCTTGTATTGGAGAAACAAGTCAATGAGGAAACAAGGTGAAATGATCTTCATCAATGACCAGAGCTGGTAAGTAAAGGAAACTGACCAGTGACTTACACCTTTTTAGGTACTAAAACTTTTGATGGTGACTCTTAGCCAAAAATGCCCTGTCTCAATGGTAATGAACACAACTTCTTCTTCTTGACAATTCAGGGTCAACATTCTGAAGTGGGGGAAGGGGGAGTAATACCAGGGATAGAACTCAGGACCTTGAGCTTGCAGAGGCAGGCACAGTGCCACGGAACTAAATCCCCAGCCCTATCATTTTGAATATTAACCTATGTAATAATCTGAAACAGCATCACAGTACTGAAAGGATCTGGGAAGGGAAGGGGCACTGCCCTGTCAATGCAATGACATTTAGACAATCATTTCAAAAAAAGATGAACATATATTAGGTATTAAGATATCTGAAACGACTATCATGTTTAGTCATAATAGCAGAAGGGGTTTAGTCGAGTTTTAAAACATACTCACTCAATTAAAGCTGGCCGTGGTGGCACACACCTGTAATCCCAGCACCTGGGAGGCTGAGACAGGAGGATTGCCATGAGTTCAAGGCCAGCCTGACTATCTAGTGAGTCTCAAAAAAAAAAAAGGCTAAACAAAACAAAAAAGTAACATATTCAATTACTTACTTGATTTAACTCAATAAAATCTATTAGCAGGCTGGGGATCTAGCTCAGTGGTTCTGCCACCTGCCTTGCAAGTGCAAGGATTGGAGTTCGATCCCCAATACCAAAAAAATTTAAAAATAAATAAATATAATTAAATCTATTAGCACTGCTTAAGACCTAAGTACTCAAAACTACCTCTGAGATATCTATCCATGCTGATTAAATACTTACTGAGCACCTGAGTCCAGACACTGGGTTAGACATCATGCCATGGCAGTAGAAAAGATTCATCTTCCCTAAATTAGACATCCCAAACTGAACATTATCACCTCTCCCTTCAAACTTGCACCACCTCTGGCATTACTGCCCACCAGGCACTGAAAGCCTGAATCCTGGGCACTGTAATTCTCATTAATACCCAAAGTCTTCTGCTCTCACCTTCTATGTGCTAATCAACTCTTACTCCTTTATCACCACCAGACTCCAATATTCTTTGCCAGGACGAACGACAGTAAAGACTTTACTATTTTCTGAAATCTGCAACTGGTCATCAGTGCCCTGGCAAGGCAAATAACCTCTGATTTCAGCTCTTCTCTAAAGCTAACAAATGTTAAGACAAGGCAAACTTACCCGTTTGTTGCCCCAGGAGCCCAACTTGGCACACTGAAAGTTCTGAAACGACCTCAGCACCCCTGAAACACTAAGTACATGTACATACCATATCTTTCAGTACTTGTGTCACCGTTGCATTTGCATTTCCCCCTTTGATCAGCATGGCATTTTTATTATTTTCATTGAGTTTTGGTTCTCTCTTCTCAAGGAATCTCTTGGCCCTTTTTGTCTTGGGCTTTCTGTTCAAAAAACAATTCATTAAAATTTAAACATTTTCCTCATATTATAAAATCAAGACTTGAAAAATGAACCAATTCTTTTAAAAAATCCATCAGTAAAGAGCCGGGAATCTAGCTCAGTGGCACCGTACCTGCCTCTAAAGCACAAAAGGTCCTGAGTTCAATCCTCAGTACCCTAACCCCTCAAAAAGAAACAAAATAAAGATTTTTTTAAAAAATAAGTGTTTCACCCACATATTTATCAATTAGGATTCCACCATTAAACAAAATCTCACATTTTAAAGAGATATCAGTAAAAGATACTCTATTACTGGTGTTTTTTGACCCTTTGAGTTTTTTTAAAAAGCTTTCATTTTGATCTTCCAACATCCTTTTATTACTACTGTTTTCTAATTTTTTTCAACTAAAAAATAAAGGACTAGAATGGATTATTGTTTTTTATTCAATATTTTTTCTTCAAAGTAGATAAACTGACCCCTACACCCTAACACAAAGAACTACACATCAACCTGTGGGCATTTACTAAAGATAAGGAGGCTGACTATTTCATCTTTCTTTCAGGGTCAAGACCATAGTGACTACTGGGATGTCCATGCTGACATCCTTACTAAGAAAGACTACATTACTGCTCTCAAAGGGGAAAACTTTGACACTGTTATAGAGCAACTCTATATATTGAGGCTTCATCTCCACTACAACCATATGATTACAATTATTATCCTTGTTTACAAATGAAGCAACTATGATGAGAAAGAATTTGCCCAAGGTCATACAGCTGTACAGAGGCCAATTTTCAAAATGAGACAGATTTTAAAACTTATCTTACGATCAATACTGTATTCTATAAAATATGAAGAGAAAATAAGTTCATTATTCTGACTCTAAGTGACAGGTGTCCATATTTTTATACATTTCTTTTCAGAAAAAGGGTTTTTCCTTTGCTTCCTCTCTGTGAGCATCTTGTTTTTCAAGCAATTCTCTGCCATCTATTAAAAGGCTCTTCTCTTCAAAATCTATGACCTTTGCCAGGTGTGGTGGTGCATCCCTGTAATACCAGCACTCAGGAGGCTGAGGCAGGAGGATCGCTGTGAGTTCGAGATCAGCCTGGGCTACATAAATGGTGAGTTCCAGGTCAGTCTGAACTACATAGTGAGACCCTGTCTCAAAAAAAACTATGACCTTCCTTCTTGCAGTGTTATGGATACATTAAAATTTTGTTGTTGTTTTTGTTTTTTGAGACAGGGTCTCACTATGTAGTTCAGACTGACCTGGAACTCACCATTTATGTAGCCCAGGCTGATCTCGAACTCACAGCGATCCTCCTGCCTCAGCCTCCTGAGTGCTGGTATTACAGGGATGCACCACCACACCTGGCAAAGGTCATAGATTTTGAAGAGAAGAGCCTTTTAATAGATGGCAGAGAATTGCTTGAAAAACAAGATGCTCACAGAGAGGAAGCAAAGGAAAAACCCTTTTTCTGAAAAGAAATGTATAAAAATATGGACACCTGTCACTTAGAGTCAGAATAATGAACTTATTTTCTCTTCATATTTTATAGAATACAGTATTGATCGTAAGATAAGTTTTAAAATCTGTCTCATTTTGAAAATTGGCCTCTGTACAGCTGTATGACCTTGGGCAAATTCTTTCTCATCATAGTTGCTTCATTTGTAAACAAGGATAATAATTGTAATCATATGGTTGTAGTGGAGATGAAGCCTCAATATATAGAGTTGCTCTATAACAGTGTCAAAGTTTTCCCCTTTGAGAGCAGTAATGTAGTCTTTCTTAGTAAGGATGTCAGCATGGACATCCCAGTAGTCACTATGGTCTTGACCCTGAAAGAAAGATGAAATAGTCAGCCTCCTTATCTTTAGTAAATGCCCACAGGTTGATGTGTAGTTCTTTGTGTTAGGGTGTAGGGGTCAGTTTATCTACTTTGAAGAAAAAATATTGAATAAAAAACAATAATCCATTCTAGTCCTTTATTTTTTAGTTGAAAAAAATTAGAAAACAGTAGTAATAAAAGGATGTTGGAAGATCAAAATGAAAGCTTTTTAAAAAAACTCAAAGGGTCAAAAAACACCAGTAATAGAGTATCTTTTACTGATATCTCTTTAAAATGTGAGATTTTGTTTAATGGTGGAATCCTAATTGATAAATATGTGGGTGAAACACTTATTTTTTAAAAAAATCTTTATTTTGTTTCTTTTTGAGGGGTTAGGGTACTGAGGATTGAACTCAGGACCTTTTGTGCTTTAGAGGCAGGTACGGTGCCACTGAGCTAGATTCCCGGCTCTTTACTGATGGATTTTTTAAAAGAATT